GAGCACAGGGATTTAGAGAGTAGAAATAAATACCAAATACTTAACTGAAAGAGCTGAAAGCATTTGCCTCTGAGGGACAAGAAATAGGGTAGAGAGTGTGGCGCCAGGCAGCTATTTTGTAACAAGACTTGCAGAAGTGTTTGACTCTTTAACTGATGTGTGTGTACATAATAGAAACTAAATTCTTTTCTATGAGACAAGACAGAACAACATAAATGCGTACACACACACATACAGACACACACACTTCACCTGATCTGTGCACCAGTACCACAGAGATGTAATGAATATTCCCAATATCATTCCTGGCCATGGAATGTCCCCAGAGACAGGATCTTGGAAAATGTGGAAGGAGTCCGCCTGAGGAGTGTAGCACCTGGCGTCGATTGTCAGGTTGTCCCCTTCAACTATGGATGGGATGGCATTCATGTACTTTTCCGTGAAACTCTCGTAACCTCCAACTTCGGCAAATGCTGAAAAGGCATCAGATAAAATGAAATGTCTAACTGAAATCGAGCACACCCGATGTTTATGCTTACTACTTTGTGGTGGAGGTACACAAGCCCCTGCCATCAGCCTGGTCAAATCCCCAGTGACCTTCTCCCAGGATCTGTGTTTTCCTAGGACCGCCACTGGCATTGGGCATGGTACCAGAATGACTTTCACAAAGTACATAAAGCAAATAACTCTAACTTGTCTTCTTATAGTGCTGTTTAAAGTTTTAAGTTAATGTCTTGATTTAAGGTAAAAATGAAACTGTAACCCAACAGACTGGTATTGATGTCTCACAACCATTCAGAGCAGAAACACACCTGAAGGTGAGATGACAGAGTGGGCCCAGTGGAATTGACCATCAGTCATCGGAAAGCCCCAGCTCCTCTGAAATCAACAGGAAGCAACGGTCTCTCTTCCTGACTCAGAGCCTGGCTATTCTGACCTCACTTGCAATCTTGTTTCCTGGTGCAACACTATTCTACCTACATTTCAACAAAAAATTGGAAAGATTAGGAGGAGAAATTGGAGGCAGCAGGTTAGCTGTGATGAGGAAAAATGGTGAGATTCAGCCCACTGTGGGTCTGCACAGGTTAGTCAGGTGTAGGAAAAATTACAGTTGATCTTGAAAGATAAGCCCAGGCATCTGTGGTCCCTTAGCATAGGTTTAAATGATGCAAAATTCATCTCAGTATCCTACAGTTGTAGAGTTGAGTTGACATTAATTTACTTCTTCATTATTTAATTAAGGACCTACTATATGCCGAACATTGTGCTGGTATCATGTGAAAAATGAATGCGCAAGGCAAGAACTCAGCCTAGTGGTGTATACAGTCAATGCAAGGAAATTGCTTTGATTAGATAAACATGGTTTGTAAGAAAAATACACAGAGGACCCTAACAGATAAGAGAATCCCTCTTCCTCAACCTAAGGGTGGGAGAAGTGAGGCTTGGAGAATGCAAGGGAATGCATCACTGAGGCCAGACACTAATGAACCATGAACAAGAATAGTGCGGACAGTCTGGGTAAATAAATAGAAAGTAGATGGCTGACTAGACGCATGTAGTATGTGCCTCCTCTACAAAGAGGAACCAGAATAGTAAGTAGATATTCACATTTTGGACGGATTGTTTAGGAGAGAAAGCTGGGATTCACCAGAAGAATGGGAGGTACCAATGTAAGGAGAGGCTTTAGGGAAACTGGCCTGGCTGGGAACTGGCTGGGAGCTGGGAGAAGCTCCTGGATGTGGGAAAGCAGTGAGAGAGGAATCCCAGGTCTTCACATTATGAAACAGGCTCTTACAATCTTGGCTATGGGAGAATCCTCAACTCCTGTGGGCATTGGGCCCAGCATAGGGAGCTGCCTAGAGATTGCACGTAGACGACGCTCCAGAAAGGGAACCCATGCACAATGCCACAGCATCCATGCCCAGACGCTGGGGATCTACGGACAAGGCTACTGCTGTTGTGCTGTTCTGAGGAGGGAGAGCAGAGACTGGGGGCTCTCATGCAACCCTAGAAAGGTCTCCACCACTGTGCTGTGGCTGCTTTTGAGCCTGAGATATGAATGGATTTCACTGCCCACAGCTTCTTGCCCACACTGCTTGCCTACAAGTGGCTCTACGCCTTCTAGTCCTGGGCTCAAGGCACCGTTTTGAGAGTTTAATGCTGGGCTACACCCTGCCCTTGGGCCAAGTTTGGGTTGACACCGCTGCAGCCATCACCTGGCTG